TAGTCCATAACTCATTTAGGTACATGGCCAAATTGTCTCTTGGCTTAAGGAAGGATTTAGGGTGTCATTTGACCCCTTTAAAGGAGTTTACGGCCCAAGAACTACTCTTGGCCGTAAACTCTTCCACACTTGTGTTTCCATGAGTTTTCTAGGTTCTAATCACTTTAGGGTATTTGTCTAAAATAGAGTCCAAGCCTTAGGTAGTGTTTCAAAGCATTTTGGCACTTAAAACTTGGAGTTTACGGCCTAAGGAGCTCTTTGGCCGTAAACTCCCTTCTAGTCATGGATCCTAATTTTTTTGTGGTATAAGGCATGAAATGGAGGCTTCTAGTTCGAGTTCTAAAGCTTTTAGGGTCATTTGCACCCTTAAGGACCTTAAAATTGAGTTTACTCCCCAAGAACGTTTTTGGGCGGTAAACTCCCGGATCTCTTATATTTGACCTACAATCTATGTTAATAGGCATAAAACAAGCATTAAAACACAACTAGAGAAGTGTACTGACGATTTGGGATAAAAACTCGAAGATCCGTGAGAGAGAATTTGGCTTTTCTCTAGTTGGAATTGTGAATAATGAACGAATTTAGTTCAGAAATCTATTTATAGTCCTGAAATATTTTTGGCAGATAATATTTTTATTCCTGGAACGAACTCTAATGTCCTAGAGTCTTGGAATAATAGTGTTGCACAAAACCCTAGTGCACCCACTCTCCTAATATCTCCTTAAGTGTAAAATCCTGAAAACTGCCAAACTTATACTCGAAATCTGAGTTTTACATTGTAACTGATCTACATCTATTGGCTTGATATGGTTTGTCCAGAATGGAAATTTCGGGTTGTCACAGTATCGGGTATCCGTCCGAAGGTCCTTTAAATATTTAGTTATATATCATGTGTACATATACGGACATAATAGTTCTGATCAGTCAGTTCAGTACCTTTGGGTAGCAAAGGTATACGTTCATATATCCCTAGTAACCTATTATAGGCATAGTTTGGGCTTATATATGATTTGCTAATAAGTATGGATTTCGACCTAGCGATTCGTTGCGGAAGTCACCTTTAGTTCAAAATGTAGAATAGGAACTACCAATCATATTATTACTTACTTACAGCGGGTCTCGTGAGAAGACTACTTACTTACAACGGGTCTCGTAAGAAGACTACTTACTTACAGCGGGTCTCGTGAGAAGACTACTTACATACAACGGGTCTCGTGAGAAGACTACTTACTTGCTTACTTTCTTTCACTTAAGTCAGGGTAGAAGACTACTTTCAAAACAGCCTAGTTTTGGTAGAAGACTAACTTTTTATATTGGTAGGAAATATGGGATTTTCTAGGAAATTCAAACGCTTACACTTTTACTTATAAGACTTTTCATTAATACTTATATAGATAATGACATTAAATACTTATGAATTCAGCAGCTTTAAAGCTGTTACTCGCTTTCAAAATAACTTGTATTCTCAGGTCACAAATCGACTGGCGATGCAAGGTTTAGAGAAGATGGAGCAGTCAAGACTCGTCTTTTATTTTGAGTATTCATTATGTTGTTATTACTATGAAAGAATACACTTGTAAGTAAAATTATGCTAATAATGCAATGGATGATGTTGTTGCTTGTTTACTACTTTGCATTGTTGTGATACTGTACATGACGTCCTCCGCCCCCGAACATTTCCGTCATTCCGTTTTTTGGGTGTGACAAAGCAGCAGACCGTAGTTGATTCAACGTGCAAATCAGAGTACATAGCAGCGAGAAAAGCGTCGAAGGAGGCAATATGGCTAAAGAACTTCATCAGACACCTTAAAGTTATACCAACCATACAGGAGCCTACGGAAATTTTCAATGCTAACGAAGGTGTGGTTTCCTTGACCAAGGAACCGAGGGAGCATCACAGATCCATGCATATCGACAGGTGAAACAACCCATTATTTTCATTATTGTAAAAGTCAATTTGGTTAACTAATGTCAACTTAAATCTTATTCTATATTAAATGGGTTAGATTAGTGTTTTATAAGTATTTACACCTTGTATTCAGGGTATTATGTGTTCAAGAAGGTAATTAGTTAGAACCAAGAAACTTCGCACCTCTTTTCTTCTCTCTTCCCTTCGGACCGGAAACATAGGCGACAAACCCTCGGACCGTGAACAACTTCGCATAGTCGTGAAGCCTTCTCGGATTTCATTCTCTGTAGCAAACCTCCTTCGGGCCGTGAACCTTCGGCCGTAAACCCCTCCCTAGCAAACCGCCTTCGGGCCGTGAACCTTCGGCCGTAAACTCCTCCCTATATATATATATATATATATATATATATATATATATATATATATATATATATATATATATATATATATATATATATATAAGAAACACCTTCCTTCTTGTAGTTCATATGGAACTCTGTTGATTCCACCCTTGACTCATCATCATTTGGGCCGTGAAATCAAGATCTTCAAGATCTTTGGATTGTGAACACTTGTATCATCATGATTTCACCAAGAATACACACTAGAGTGTGGGCCGTGAACCCATTCCTGCCTTCCCTTTTTGACTATAGCAGCATCTTTTGTAAGTAAAGCATGCAACTTAAACCGTTTCCTTGGTATATTTATGATTATGACCACTAAAAGTATACATATATTACATGAAATACTTATAGGAGTCAGGATCTAACTCGTGGAATTAACATCCTATATCGAAATTTCATACGAATCACTCACAAGAGGTAAGTTCATACCCCTACGGTTTTATCATTTTTAACTGTTTTAGGGGGGAATACAAGTGAAACACAATAAAATTGTGTTATTATCTCAAAAAATTTTAAAAGTTTTTAGTAATTTCAAATTGTTATAATTGTTAAAAATTACATATTTATATATGTGTAAATTATATAATTTGGATTCGGAAGATTCAGAATATGTAATCTGACCCCATTTCCTATTCCTTGTTTGGTTGTGGGCTTGGTGCAAAATTATTGAATCGAAGGTCTAATTAATCACAATTATATAAATATTACATTTATATAAGTATAAAATAATTTTCAAACTATTTAGTACTATTTGAGTACAAACAGAGAATTTCATGAAATAATAGTATTACAGATTCTTAAAGTAAAACAAACAAATAAACTATAATCAGTATAGTTTAGAAGGCTCATTCATTTATTTCAAAGTTCAAAGTACATAACAGGAAAGCAGCCATAGTACATAATGGAAAATAAACAGACGACAAATGTTAGAAAACAAACAGATTACTTTACTAAAAACAAACATAGAAACTACATTATATACAGTTTATGAAACTTACTTACAATGTGCTTATTACAAAGTAACTTTTCGTTATTCGATGTGTAATCATAAAAATAGCACTTGTGAGACTAACTTCATGTACCTTTCTAAGTAACAACCAAGTCCTGAAATTATAACCAGAGTCTCCTGAAGGGAGAGCATGACACTTGTATATAGATCTATATGGGACTAACAATCCCACACCTGAACTGCTAGCTACAGTTACGTAGGCATGCATGGGGTGACAAATGGCTTACATATTATGACGCCTGAAGAACGTTGTGTTCAGGCAATCCTAGGTCATCTACTATGGTTATAATAACTCACAATTTGGTATTGAACAAAATGATTATTGCATGAATAAGTAACACTTCACATAGTTTTATTTAATTATGAATCTATAATACAATATCTTACAAGTATAACCATGGAATACTATTTCAACTCAGAGAAAACACAGTTTTCATGGATTTATGAAAACTAAACTACATTTTATAAGTTCTTGTTAGAGAAATCATTATACTTTTTTCATATAGAATAATATAGCAGAAAATATAGGATTTTCTGGGAAAAACATACTCACTTTATTAGTAAACAAGACAACAGATTTCAGTTATAAACATACTTATGAACCCACGAACTTAATTGTTGACACTTTTTCAAAAAATACTTGTATTCTCAGGGAAATCGTAATACAGGTACATCCACAGATTTTGAGAAGACGGAGATCTATAATCTCGTGCCTTTTAAACTTGTACTTTTGAGTTCATATACATTATGTTTTGAACACAGTTGTAAAACTTTTTACTTTGTAAATACAATGGTTGTTGTTGTACTTTGATTACTCTTATGGATTGTTGTGATACTATACATGAAGTCCACCACCCCCAAATGTTTCCGCCGTTCTGGTTTGGGGGTGTGATAGTTTTGTATCAGAGCATTGTTTATAGTGAACTCAGTATATCAAACCATAAAAGATATACAAACTATAAATGTTATGGGGCTGAATCGCTCTAATTACAAGTATACTTTTAAAATTTAAGTATTTTATAAAAAAAAAAAAGTATACTAACATGCATATATACAAGAAATGATGTCACAGTAAGAACGATACAAAAGTATTAGGGGGTTGGACACTCCAGTTAAACCTAGAAAATTATGTAACCACTACTAGAAAAAAGGCATTTTACGACGCTCATTGCGCGTCGTAAAACGCTCAGACGATGCGCAAATGCGTGTCAAGGAAGGCCCTGTCATAAAGAGAGACGACGCGCATTTACGACGCGCATTTACGACGCGCATTTACGATGCGCGGTTATGACACGCAATGCGTATCAAGGAAGGCCCTGTCATAAAGGAAGACGACACGCATTTGCGTGTCGTAACCTTACGACGCGCATGTTTATGACACGCAATGCGTATCAAGGAAGCCCCTGTCAAGAAAGGCCATGTCATAAATGAAGATGACACACATTTTTGCGTATCATAATTTTAAATTTTCTAAAAAAAATATTTACAATATCTAAATTTGATGTCATACAATTCATAATAGAAATAAAATATCATATACAAAAAATACAATCCATTGCATAAAATTTAATGTCATACAATTCTATTTTTTACAATATCTAAATTTGCATCTAATCTACTCTCTACATCAAATTCCAACTAAATAAAGTTGCATCTTGCCTTTCATAATTCTTTAAGACTAATGCTCCAAACAGCTGTTATATGGATAAGAAGTTGTACATTGGCCCATCTCACTCAAGAAAGACTTAGCCAAATTCAACTCCAAGTCTTTACTGCATCTTGCTGATAATGCTGCAAGATTTGAATCAAGTGGCTTCATATTCTTTTCTTCCACCAACTTTACCTGATGCACAAAATACACAGAAACAAAAAAACATTGTATAGGACAATCCAAAAACACATTATAAGCATAACAGTCAGTCCATGGACTTACTGTGGATCAATAATTGCAAACACCAAAGTTTGTTTGTGTGAACTTCACTTTTCTCATATAAAAACCTCTAATTCAGTTGATTGCATAGCCTTTGTGGACAACTGTTGGGGTTTCTCTTTGGGTTCTACTGAGGACTATGTCTGCAAAGTCTTTTCCAGTGGGTACCCTTGTGATTTTCTTGAAATTGTATTGCACCATGTTTGAATATTTAAGCAAAAACTGCATCAACACAAGTCATTATATCAGAAATCTACTGAATATTTGTTTCTTGGTATATACTGTTTTGAGTTTTGAGTGATTTCAGTGTTTACAAGACCAATGCCCTATGGGTTTTGAGTTAAATTTAATAAGATAATTGTGTTTATTTAGTTAAATGTAGTTGAAGAGACAAGAATAACATAGCTCTCGCTCTGTAGTCTATATAAGAACCGTTTATTTTGACATCCCACCATCAAAAAAGAAAATAACCCAATGACACCATACAAGAATTATAAGAAGCTTAACCTAAAACTTGGATTGCAAGTGTCGATTCATTACCATGGATGCAGATACATTAATAATAACCTCCTAAAGGGCTCAACTAATTAAGGTTAGAATAAGCCTAAAAATCAAGGAAAAGATACCTTTAGTCCCTGGTCGTTAAGGTCTTTCAAAGTATAATGAGTTGTTCCACTGAACTCACCGAGTCAACACAGTCCAAATCTGGAAATGTTTCTCGCCTTGGAAACACCTGGATATAAACAAAATGTATACAATTTAACCGCATTATTATAGAGAACAGTGTCCCCACTCTTGTACTAAAGAAGTTGCTTTCGGCTCATTAGTTGCCCATCACTTACACCATCCCTGCAAATAAAAAACGAAGTGAAGATTTAGTTTTTTTTCTTTAATTGTACCACTTGAAATTATATTTATATATATACCTATAGAATATGATCCCCAGTGGTTTTCCCTGTTGCCTTCTCAAAAGATAGTAAAAGATCCCTGCATTTTCAAATATTCGAGTTACTACATTACCCAACTTATTAACATCCATAACATATACTATCTTTTGACCAGTCAACGAGACAAAATGCACCTTTGTTGATTTGCAAAAAATTGGATCAAACTTCTACAACGTTTTGCCTTGTCCAGACTCTAATTTCTGCGTGCAGCTGTTTTGACTTGTCCAGACTCTAATTTCTCTTCTACCTGCATATATTTTGTAATAGAATCAGATTTTTGGATTGTTTTTTGGGTATTTAATAATGAGGTAAAGCCTAAATTTATATAAAAACTATAACCCTTAATGGGGAAAAAGAAAACATACTTGCTCCATCTCCTTTTTTTGAGATGCTTTTGAATCTGATCTCCAAGCAATATAGAGCAAACACAGCCCAAAGAAGGCATAAAGAACTGCATTGTAGAAAAAAACAATTTAGATGTCTCACAATCCTCATATTTTAAATTGAATTTTAATATATATATATATATATATATATATATATATATATATATATATATATACTCAATACATACCTGTAGCAACACTGTTTGTGTGTTTCCTTGATATTAGATTTGGAACAATCCTACCAAGCCCTGTAGAAAGTATCTACATACCAAATAAAACCAAACTAAACTTAGAAGCAAACTAAAATATATGTTTTTCATTTATGTTCACTAAAATATGAAAAGGGTAAAAAAGAAAAGTAGCAAACTTACAGTCATTACAAACAGAGCACTGAGTGCACCTGATAGAACAATTGACTTTGGATGATGCATTGCCATAAGAGCTGCTATAATAAAAGTTTCATCTCCAATCTAGATGGAAGCAATAAATGGAATATTGGGTAATGTAATTTTGAGAAATAAACATTTGTGGAAACTTATGTGTGCCTATAAAAAATGATAGGGAAAGAACATACCTCACTGACAAGAATCATTGACAAACTGGCAAAAAATGCATCCAAAACACCAAGACCAGGATCCAAATTTAGTACAGCTTTTGGATCAATCTTGTCACCTATGACATTGTTTTTAATTCTTTCCACAACAACCTGTTTCAAGTAAATACACGCATTAAGATGTATGATGAATAATAAGTAGAATCTTATTCAAACCTCAACATAGACTACCATATAGTATTTAAATATCTAAAACTTTCTATAGCATAAAGAAACAAAAATTTGAAATCCAACTATAAAGTATAAACACAGGAAAGAGGAAACTTATAAATTAGTATTGAAAGTTCATATGTGTCTAAATGCTCATCCTCAACAGAAGGGTTTCCAATGTATAAGGGTTTTAATAGTTTCAAGTTTGTTCACAAATCACAATATTATAGCTATATCACTAAACCTTCTTCTTTTGCTCCTCTGGTGAATCAAGAATAACCCCACTTTTCTGCAATACCTGTTGGATAACCTAGAGAAATTGGGATAATTTTAGCCCAGGGGTATTTTAGGAATTTTTTAGTAAACTTGCATTTTTTATGTGGTATTTGAATTAGACTACGTTTCATTTGTGTTTAGTATAAAATAGGACTTGCATTACATTGTAATTTCATTCAAAATCATGTTTTTAATAAGTAGTTTTACCTTTGGCAAGAAGTAAACATTATTCCTCTGTTTTTTGGTTCATTCCCATGTTCATCTTTTTTTCTTCTACACTTCCTATTTCTCTTTTTTCTTTTGCCTTGGTGAACAAGATGCAAACTAAAATCTGCCCCTACGTAATAGCAATTCTCTGATGACACTTGGTATTTAGGTCGCCACTTCCCCTGTTCATCTATTATTATTTTCCATTTAGCAAGAATCAAAGTCAAACAGTTCATGTTGCTGAAATCCATCTCCATTCCAACAATGGCATATTGCTTTTGTATTTGTATTCTAAGGAGAATTAGGTGCCCTACCCTCACCCTCAACCTAAAACAAATGCATATCTCAACAATTAGGCATATAATTTTATAAACTGGGGGATGATTTTCATGAAAAAAAACACAAGATTTAAGAAGGTGAAGTGATTCATGTTTAGAAATTAACATGAACATATATAAAATAAAAAAAGAAAATAGAATAAATTGTAAAGGGATCGTAGAATTACCAGAAAAAGGAACATATAGAGCACTGCTTTATAGAAATTGGTCCCCCTTCAGCTCTTCGACAATCTTCATCTGGTGGAGGAGAGATATCTTCTGGCTCCAATGATTGCGTTTTTATCACCCACATCTTCTGGCTCCATCCCTTATGTGGAATTAACCTTCTCTATTACGTGCAAAGTTTTTTTTTGGAATGGAAGGCCTGTTGTATACTCACTATTGCTTTCGTTTCCAACTATCAAACACCACCGAGACCACCTGCAATAAGGAAGCACGAACAAAGGAGAAAGAAAAATATTCATCTATGGAGGAGAGAGATGAGAGAAAACCCGGTGGAGGGGGAGAGACGAGAATGTGGATGCATCGATTAGGGAGAGAACAAACTCAGAGTGTGAAGTGAAGTCGGATTTAGGAGAAGTTGTACCAGTTTTAGGGAGAAATCGAACCAGTTGGTGTTTGTTGTTGATCTTCTTTGCTGATTACTGGCTCGTGAATAGAGAGAAAGGTTAGGGTTTCTTGATTGAGAAAAAAAAGGAAGGCGGGATTTTTAATTTTTTCAGAATTTCATTTCCCCTACTGTTAAAGGATGGAACGCGCGTTCCATTAAAAATTATAAAGCGACATCCTTAGACGACGCGCATTTTATTATAGGTGCCCTCCGTGTTTTTTTTAGACACTAATTTAAGGGTGCGCAATAATGCGTGTCTTCTATCCTTAAATTTTTTGAAGAGATGACATTTTTCTAATGTCACTCTCCTTTGCGTAACATAGATCAATGAGCGTCGTATTTTGCGCGTTGTAAAAGGCCTTTTTTCTTGTAGTGAATCTTATAATCTAGAAACCACGGATCCGATTTCTCTGATTATCAAACATTTTTAGTATAGATTTACTCATAGTTCTCTGATTACCAACATTTTGAGTATGGATTTACTCACGGTTCTTTAAGTACCAAACATTTTTAGTATGGAATTACTCACGGTTTCTATGAGTACTAAACATTTTGACTATGAATTTACTCACGGTTCTTTGAGTACCAAACATTTTGAATATGTATTAACTCACATTTTATCTGATTACTAAACATTTTGGGCATCGATTTACTCATGATTGCTCTATTATCTAACATTTTAAGTATGAACTTTACTCACGATTCCTCTGTCTATCAAATACCTTAAGTATGAATTTAGTTATAAATTTCTATTTTATCATACATTTTCAAACATGGTTTAAACTATAAATGGCATACTTTTTAATCTTTTAAAGTATCATTACTGCGGTTAGCAGAAAACCTATGAACTCTCACCAACCTTGTGTTGACCCTCAAAATTTCATGTATTCTTAGGGTATCAAACGAGCTTTCAGTCAGAAGATTAGTCATGGATTTAAGGCGACCTAGTTTTATCTAGCTTTTGTTATATCGTTCTATCTGTTAAGAAAAATTTATGAATTTATTGTTATGAACCTTGTATTCAGACCTTAAAGTGTAATGTAATTGCTATGACGTTATTGTTGTAACTTGTGATGTATATTATGTTGGGTTTCGAGCATTCTAACACTTCTAAGTGTACATGCAACCCTAATAAACCTTGGATCTATGTTTTCTCTAAAATACATGCAAATAATAATTTCCAAGTTTTACATCCTAACTAGCATGGCATGAAGAACTAGAATCATAAAACACTAGAAGAATGACATACCTTTTGATAGTGATTGTTTGCTTGGAGTTTGAGAGCCTAGCACCAATAATGTGAATGCCTCAAGTGGAATCACAAATCACCACAAACTCGGAAAACTTATGAAAGTGTATACTTTGCTTCAAGAAATCGGACACACCTTTTTTCACACACTAGAGGTCAATTTCATGCAACATAAGCTTGTTTATATAGTGTGCATGATTAGGGTAAAACCCTAATAACCCATGTCTTTTCCTTTCCAAGGATCCATGGGTTAAAAGCTCCATGGATCATCCATGGACTCATTTCCAAATGAGTGTTAGCCCACACTATATAAATATAATAGCTCATGATTTAATTAGTCTTCCTTTTAATCACTAAATGAATTCATAATTAATTTAAGACTAAAAACTAATTAAATAACATGACTTCATATTGATATATTATAACTTATAATATATTAATAAACCATAAGTATACAATTCTCATAATATTATCCATAAATTGTTGGGTGAAGTGCAACCCAAATAGACCATGCCGGGTCGGGTTAAGTATATACCAAATAAGTTATGGACTTAGACACCTTATCCAACTGTCTCCCGCTTGGATAAGTCTAATAACTGTGTTTGTCTATATTACTTCAGGAACCAACCAGCAATCGTAGCTCTCGAAAACTCTGTTGAACTATGAAGCGCCATTTTAGATAAGTGATCATATAATCCTCTGGTCTCATGATATCAGCCAGACAAATGCAAGGAACAACATCGTACTTATTGTCCAGCAGTTTGTTTCCTGATTTCCGATTTGTTTGACAAAAACTTAATCGAACACATCAATTTAGTTTTGACCGCTCCCGGTAAATAGGTCAAAACAAAATCATCGAGGGGCCCATATATCGCTTCTATTTCTAGAAGGAACAAATAAACTTCGACTCATATGCTTATTCTACTACTTTTTGAATTGTACACAAAGCCACGTTTTATAACATCAAGTTACTGATGCATTTTCGTGCAATCAATGCACAACCAACTCATAGGCAACAACTCATATCTCTAGGCTTGAAGATTTATATGATATTACCGTCTCACGATCACTTGAGATAAATTCCATGAAGTGATACAAGTGAGCGTGGGTTAATTCCAATACTCATAACTTATGAGTACTCATGAATGTTGTAGCAACCATTCCTATGTCTAAACACGTTTAGCCATCTACAAACTCGATTCATGACAGTCTTAATTCATACCTACTTCCAACATATGAACGACTGTGGAGTGTTTAAATAACTTAGTCATTCGGAAAAAATAACCTAGCTATTCTGGAAGTCAAAACATGGAAAGTGAAATACAATAATAATCGAATCCAATATGGTCTTAGAACCCTTTTGAATATAAATAGAACCACCTTTTATTTATCACCATATTGATTACACATTATTCATTGTATAATGTTTCAAATAATCAACTTAATATTTGAATAAAACAACAGTTGTCCCATGCTCCTAGCATGTACACTTTGTTTTCTAAACAATAGTTATGCCATACTCCAAGTATGCACACTATGTTTGTCTATGATCTTTACTTTTTGTGAAATAGATCAATTGAACATCATTCCAATGATGCTCATTTCACAATCCCAAATCCTTATTGTAAATGTAAGAATTCCTAATTCCCACCATTTACCAAAAACTGTTAGATTTTAAACTTTTATGCAATGTTTCTCTTGTAATGATTACGCACAAAGTCACAAAACTTGTCAACAGTCATTACAGAGTATTCCAAAGAAGATCAGTGCTATGGAAACGAAGTCTCATATTCAAAGTACATTGCTTTGAACATCCTTCTTTCATTAAGGTTTTCTAATCTTACACAGATTAAATAACTTCGACCTATGGAGACATTTCCATAGTCCCATTTTGACTATCACTTTTGAACAAGAGATGCCTTTTTTCAGAAAATGTCAATATGGTGCTGTCAAAATTAACACTATACTTCCAAATGTCCCTGAGCAACCAATCTTTGGCAAACCTCAGATTGTCCTCAACAATTGCTTAATCACTTTAGTCATATCCAGTTCTAGACTTTTCTCTTCTAAATGCCCGGAGCATTTGGAAAATTTAGAAAGGATGAATATTATAGCACATGCAATCGATCCTATATCCGAAGAATATGGGACACTATTCATGATGTTTCACATAAATACACGATACTAGACTATTTTTTTGCTACAATATTTTTTATTTGCCATGTTTTCAAAATTTAACTATGAAGAGGGATGCCGTAATCATAATCAAAATTTTGAAACCGCAATATATATAGAATTTCTTTAAGTTAAACCATTCCAACATAATATATATATATATATATATATATATATATATATATATATATCCTTGACTAAAGATGATTAAAAACTCAATCTAAGCTTTTAGAATTGAAATGAAGTATAATTTCCTCTCCCTTAATTATAGCAAAACAACTTTTTCAACCCCCACAACTTTACGAATTGAAACTTTTGTTTTTCTATAATTTACATTGCTAACTTGCAACACGAAACATAATAATCATGCTCCGCTAACATGATGATTATCAGCATAACACTTATGCTCCCACTAGCTTTGATATATTTCCAGAAAGCAGTTGGACTTCTAAAATTTAGATTCGTAAACCCTTTCTTAGATAGCTCACATGTGTGTCTAAAAAATTTCAAGAGCTATGAAAAGGGATGTCATAATCATAGTTTCAATTGTTTAGACCTTTGCCATTTCTCACAAGTCCATGTTAGTGTGTCGGTTAACCACACACGCTCCACTAACGACCTTTGAAAATGCAAATAACACAATTGCTATCTACTTAAAATCTACTTAGTGAAAGCATTTCCTCACCATCATTCTCATGAATCGGAGAGAAATCTTATGACACTTAGATTTTATGGTATATGAGTTCCTATCCATGTGAATTTGTCAAAACCATAATCACAAGACAAGATTAGTGACAAATTCAGCCTTACATGGATTGAACTTGTTAAATCTTAATTTCTTGTCACCTGGTAGCACAAGGCCCACCAATTCTTCCAAGCTGTTATGCACGCAGTTTAGAACTATGCATAGTCAATTTAATTGGCACAAGAATTATGTCAACATGATAGGTTACAAACCTCAAGTCATGTGCTAGTGATAAAACACAGGTTTTTACTTTTGATTAAATCTTGAAACTCTTCCAGGATCTTTAAGGCTCTCACTGTCCTCGTGACATATAAGTTTCCCTAGTTAAGAACCATTCCCTGACAAAACAAAAATTCAAGGGATAGTGTGGATTCTATCAAGAGTAACACTTCACACAATTGGTCTTAGTTAGTCTTTGTCTCATCTAAGACATCACAACTTACCAATTTCAAATGTACAAGAGTAGAAAAACATTTTACATTACATTCGATAAGTGTTTTAAACCTTACTTTA